AGAACAAGCCATTCAACTTCGTATAACAACCCAAAAGAAAACGCCCACTACCTATACAAATAGAACAACCAAAAAATCAAATAAAACAGATAGCCAGAGTAGTAATGCAAAGTAGAAAAGTGCACTCTTTCTAAAAATAGAAGGCGCCTGGGAGGAAGCGTTTTCAGTTCAAATCTGACACATCAACAAAACGCCTGGGGGGGAGGCGTTTTCAGTTCAAATCTGTCCGTGCCACATCAGCAATAGAAGGCACCTGGGGGAGGCTTTTTCTAAAAAACGCCCATCCCCCGGCGTTTTCAGTGCCACGTGTGTGCTGACTCATCATCCAAAACTACCTATTTCAGTAATTAGTTTTTTTTAATTTATTTCATGCATTTTTATTTTTTTTTAATTTACTGAGGTCAAAAAGCCCATTTGTAGGTTGTTTAATCTACTCCACCAACTACTTAACCTGCTTTTATTATTTTAATAAATAATTAAATAAAGTAAATTAAAAAAATATGAAACTTGAAAAGAATATGAATTTTAAAAAAATGCAATATCATAATATAAATAAGTAAAATAGAAAAATAATAAGCTCAACAGACAATGACAGAGAATAAATATTTTTTTAATCAACTTCTAATTATTGACATGGTACTAGTAAAAAATACTGCAAACAAAAATTTCAATTCAATATCTTTATCAACAACAATAAATTGTACCCAGACATAAACTTATACATATCTTATTAATTTAATTTCGAGTGTTAAAATATATTAGAGTCACTAAAATATCTATTATCATAAACATTATATTAATTATGTACTACATTCATTAGATGTTATAAATGATTTTTTTTTTCAATTCCCAGCATTTTCAAAATTAATTTTTTTAAAAATAAATATCATTATTTGTAAAATACCTATTAAGATACTTGATTAGTTAATTGAGACGACATGAATTTTTTTAAGATACATGTCATTCAGAGAATAAAGTTAACAATTTTAATAACCCGTGCTTTAATAAAAATAAAATTTAAAATAAAAATAAATAAAAATATATGCACACCTTTGATTTCGACTTGAAATTTGTATGATCATGATCTATGTGCGCTTTGGAGTTGGTTGACATTTCCATCAAATTTTGCGTGTATTTTTTTTTTTAATTAAAAACAATTTTTTAGGTTAATTAGCTCATCTCATCTAAATTTAGAAGCTTGTCTATGTAACGATATATCATTTGACAGCAACAATAATTGCAATATACAACAGAATCCAAACATCAATTTTATATTATTGGAATGGAAACTGTGAACTACGTAGGACTCATAATCTGTTAGTTATCAATGGTCATACCAAATGACTGCTATCATTGGCTGGAGATTTTATGTTTGACCTTGAGAATTCATGAAAGAAAGACACAATAAATATCTATTGTAAACTTATTTCTGACATCTGAAATTATATTCTTTCTCATGCTTAGAAGGGGAAAGATCATAAAAGGTTGCATTGAACATCAAGCATGTCCATGCAAGGGAACCATACAGATTATGTTACATCATGCACGTACTTGCCCCCACGAGTGAATTCAGATAAACCATGGTGCAACACAAAAGGGAAACTTCCAGAAAAAGCTTTGCCATTGTTGCAGATGCAAATATGTTTTATCTTTCTTGCAACTTTTTTCCTCCACACCTTTTTGGGTCGTCTAGGATTCCCCAGATTCACTTCCATGAGCATTGTAAGTGCCTCCCTTCAACAAATTTATTATGCCACTTACATTTTCCCGCTAGTCAATATTTCAAATTAAGATATTAGTAAATTTTCCACGAGCACATGCCAAGATTAAGATAACATTGAAAGAACTTTAAAGCATACATTCTTGCCGTTTTTATTTTTATTATTTAGTTTAAATATGTTTTTAATATACGAAAATATCACAAATTTTTGTTTTACTCTATAAAAGTTCTATTAATTTTAAATCATTACATTTAAAATGAATAGTGGTTTTATCCTCTTCTTATTGAGATTTTAAAAATGTTCCATGTTTACAAATTTACAATGTTGGGGTCACTATAACTACCATACAATTGCCTTCGCATCTATCCTCGATTTCTCACAATATTATGGATGGAAAAAAAATTATATATATAAAACTACGACCATCATTTAAAATCTTATTCGTTATACATGCTTTTTATTTCTTAAAGTCCATTTCATTTTTTTTAAAGAAACACCTTATTTTAATACATAGTAAAACCAAAAAAAAATGTGATGTTTTCCTAAATAAAAAAATATATTTAATCTTTATTATTTTAATGCATCTTTAACTTTTACTTGAACAAGTTTATAGGCATTGTACTGGTACAGGAATTGCTCGTGACATTGCATGTGATACCATGTTACATTGTTACTATTTTGAATACGAGGAATGGTTTTTTATGGACATCTCAAATTTTAAGCACCTCATCAACCTCTAGTTTTTCTTTATCTTTCTTCTGATCACATCATATGACATGTCTTACCTATATTTTTATCTCTTTTATCTTTCTCTCTTTAGCTGTTAGATAGCATTGGAGTGTCAAATACAGTTTTCCTATTTGAATATTGACTAATAATACATGATGGGTGTTTTGAGCAGGTTGGCTTAATCTTTGCAACTTCCTTCACTGAAAAATGGGCTGAGAGGTGTAAAGAATTGTTCTTTCATGATTCACAGGCTAATCTGGGATTAATTTCAGTATTTGGTTACATGCTTTTCCTGTTCTACACTGGGGTCAAAACAGACATGAGTGTGGTGCACAGGACTAGAAGGATTGCCACCAACATTGGCTCTATTTCCATAATGGCTCCCTTTCTATGTGGCGTAGCTGTTGTGCATTTTCACTCCTCAAGATTCCTAGACGTTGGTGATGCAGCAAAACTTGGAGTTATATGTGGTTTGTTCTCTGTGACCCCTTTCCCTAACATATGCTTGGTTTTAAGTGAGCTCAAGATCCTGAATTCAGAGTTAGGAAGATTAGGCCAATCCTCAGCTTTGGTCGCTGAGTTGTTCAATTTATTATTGGTAACGTTGCTTACTTTCTCTAGAATTATATTAGAAGATAAATCAAATGCTTGGATGCGTCTTTTAGGTGCAATGTTGTTTGTATTATTGGTTGTATTCGTCATTCGCCCTGCCATGTTTTGGATCATAAAACAAACCCCAGAGGGTTCCCCAGTATGCGATCACTATGTGTATTTCATACTCATCATGACTATGTTAGCATCCTATGCCACACATCGTATGGGGTTTTTTGCTCTCTTTGGACCTTTTGTATTAGGGTTGGCTACCCCAGAAGGGCCTCCACTAGGCACTGCCATCGTTAAGAAGATTGATACTATTGTTAATGAGGTTTTAATGCCTATTTTCGTTACCACGTGTGCGATGAGGGTGGACCTCAATGACTTCTTGAATTGGAGAAACAAAGAGGATGGAGGAATAGACTACCTCATGGTACAAACCTTTGTTGTTATCGTAGTAACCACTGTTGTCAAAATTGCTGCATGCATAGTACCTCCTTTGCGCAACAACATGCCCTTGACTGACGCTGTGTCTCTCTCTTTGATCTTGAATTGCAAAGGCATAGTCGAAATGGCCGGATACTCTCTGGTTAGAGATGTCATGGTAAGCATTCTGTTTCATATCTAGTTAATTGACAAGTAAAAAAAAATTGAATCAATATTCTTGGGTGTAAAAAAAAAAATCTTTAATAACTTTTCTGAAAAGTCGCATTCACAGCATCTAAACTTAGACCAAATTACTTGCAATATCTTGTTTCCTTTACCCTACCTAGACATCCATTAATTAATAAAAGCCAGGTGAATTGTGTTAATAAAATGGTTATCCATTAATGTTATGATGCTAAATTAATTAGTTTTAATCAAAACAGCGAATAATTGTCATGTATGTTAAGATCATGAATTTAAATCATATATATGCATCATCAATTTAGAAAAAAAATTGACATTCTCAACCAATTAGAAGTTACGGTATATAATTTTGTTGATATATTACCATCATGCATGACGGTATATCAAAATTAAACAATATAAATTAAGAAAGTTTATGTAGAGTAAAAAAAAGTATAAAAATGTCAAATTACATAATTTAATCCAAGTTCATGACAACAATGTAATTTCTTTTCTAAAACATAAAATATAATTACACAAGCCTAATTATAGCAACAAAGATTGGTTTTGTTTTGATAAAAAACTCAACTAACCTAAACTTATAAAACAAATGCGAGCCTAGACTACAGACATAATTTCACTAATTTGGATAACATGTACACATTACAATTGACAAGACCTAAATAACTTGATACAATCATCTGAGAAATGATTTGTTATGTTGTTTCAGGGCGTACCAGATAACGTGTTCGCATTGGTGATGACAAGCGTTATATTCAACGCCACAGTGATGCCAATGCTGGTGAGTTACCTCTACGACCCCATGAAGAAATACGCGGCAAACTACACAAAGCGAAACATCTTCGACCTAAGACGCAACGCGGAGCTTCGAGTTCTGACATGCATTCACAGGCCGGACAACATTCCCTCCACAATAAACCTTCTAGAAGCCTCGTACCCGACGAAGGACGAACCCTTATGCGCCTACGTGCTCCAACTCATAGAACTCATAGGCCGAGCCTCCCCCGTCTTCATCTGCCACCAGCTTCACAAGAGCTCCAACAACTCCATGGCCGAGAAACTCGTCGACGCGTTCCAGAACTTCGAGCAAGAGTTCAAGGACGCGTTGGTGGTGAACACGTTCACGACGATATCACCCGCTGAGATGATGTACGACGACATTTGCACGCTAGCGTTGAACAAGTTCACGTCGCTCATAGTTTTGCCGTTTCACAAAAAGTGGTCTTCGGATGGGAGCAGCGTGGAGATAGAGGACGAGTCGCTGCGCGAGTTGAACTACCGAGTCATGGAGAGAGCGCCGTGTTCGGTTGGAATCTTAATCGAGAGAGCGCAAATGACGCATATTTTCTCGCCTGAGACGCCTTACATGGTTTGTTTGCTTTTCGTTGAAGGGAAAGATGATAGAGAAGCGCTTTACTTTGCAAAGAGAATGATGAAGAACCCGCACGTGAGGCTCACCGTGGTGAGGTTTCTGGCCTCCACGAAGGAGGAAAACCCTAAGGTGAAGGATTGGCAGGAAATGCTTGACACGAAGATTTTGAATGATATGAAGAGTGAGAAGGTGGGGGAGGCTTGTGTGGAGTACATTGAGAAGAGGGTGAAGGATGGGCCTGAAACTGCTTTGGTGATTCGTTCTTTGGCATCTGAGTTTGATTTGATAATTGTTGGGAGACAAGCTGGGATTGAGACTCCTCAAACGAGTGGGTTGTTGCAGTGGAGTGAGTATCCGGAACTTGGGGTGCTAGGGGACTTGCTGGCTTCAACTGATGCTGCAGGAAAAGCTTCTGTGTTTGTGATGCAACAGCAAAGAACAGCTAGGGATGCTTGAGGGGTGAAATTTGATGATTTCGGTTTGGTTTTGGTGTAGATTGAAAAGTTGTGCTCTTGAATTGAATTTTTGTATTTTTATCTTAGACATGATTGTAATTAATTTGTGTTCCAAACTTTCAAATTTTTGAGGAATTTTGTCTCTGATTAATTTTTCTTGCAAATTATATCCCTTAGCTTAGTGATTTTTAATAATTTGTATCTTTTTGTCAGTTGCGCATTAAAATTCCAATCGACGTGTCATGTATGATGTTATTTACGATAATATTTTTGTGAGTGATGTGACTTTTATTTTAAAAGAAAATAAAAAAAAACATCATAAATTGTAATCGCACTTTGTGCTTCTATACTTTCATTCTTTTTTGTGAATTTTGTCTGCCAAGTATTTTCTGGTAAATTATGTCCTCAAATTTTGAGACTTTGGAAATTTGTGTTGTCCTGTTAGACATGTCATGTTAACATTCCATTTTGTCCAACAAATGATGGGAGTACATATATTTTGATTGTTAAAATTTATGTGCCCTTGGTGGATATGAACTTTATAAACACACATAACCATCATGCATTTTATAGGAGTGGGCATGAGTTGAATTAGATTGGATTTGATATATATATTTTTCATTTGAATAGTTCAATTTTAATTGATTTAGATTAGTTTATTTGTTTTGTTCTTTAGTCTCCAAGTTGACTAGTGCAATTCAGTCATATTTAGTTTAGTTTTTTTTTTCTAAGATAAGAAATATTATAAAAAAATAGTCGCAATAAGGATTGAACCTAGATTCTCATGTTTCTAACTACTTGTCGCCACATAATGTTATATAATTCTAGCATTCTTAGTTTTTTTTCTTAAAAATAATAATCTAATTTTTTTTTTGTTATCATATTTTAAAAATAAATAGAGATTAAGTATAATGCTTTTACATAATTATAATATTTTAAAATTTTTATTACCATTTTCCCAATAAATGAAAATGGAAATATATACATATATAATATTTAATTATATTATAAATTTTTAAAATCTTTTTATAATAATATTTTAATTACATTATAAGATAAATTTTAATATTCTCAATTTATTATATTTAGTAGATTAAATATATCTGAATACTATCTAATCGTAACTATGCTATTTTTTTTAAGGAATACAAAAGAGAAAAAAAATAGTATAATGCAGCTATGAAAAAGAAAATTGGTAAGCGAAATCATTATGATATATATATATATATATAGGATATGTGAATTAATGTCTATATATGAATATATAAACATGAATGATGAGTATTATCATGTGTGTAACATTGCAAATTTTTAATACAATGTTCAATTATGATGTTATATAATTCTAGCATTCTTAGTTTTTTTCTCTTAAAAATAATAATCTAAATTTTTTTGTTATCATATTTTAAAAATAAATAGAGATTAAGTATAATGCTTTTACATAATTATAATATTTTAAAATTTTTATTACCATTTTCCCAATAAATGAAAATGGAAATATATACATATATAATATTTAATTATATTATAAA